GACAAGACTTAGACTGTCATACTTTGGACACGTCATGAGAAGGCATGAGTGGTTGGAAAAGACAATAATATTAGGAAAGTTAGAGGGAAGTAGATGGATGGACTTTATTAAAGAGACCACGAACATGGATTTGTAGGAGCTGGGCAGAGCAGCAGAGGACAGGGGGCCCTGGAGATGGCTCATCCAAAGGGTTGCCATGGGTCGAGATCGACGCCAAGGCAGTTAACTAACAAACAAAAAATAAATCTTCCACCTAAAGCCCTGCAGCCACCTTCATCTTGATACTCTGCAGATATGTTCAACCACAAGATAATCCTCTCTTTCCTTGCCAGCTGGCCAGGGAGGATGGAAGTTTTAGTCCAATACATCTTGGAGACAACACCAGACTAGAGAATTCTGCCCTAGTGTGGTTTTATTGCAGTAATGGTGTCACACTGCCAGCTTCATGCATAGAGTTTAAGTGCCACAAGGCTATCTTATCAGTAAAATGAGCAAGTCACAGTATCTGTTTCCCTTTAGAGTAAAAAAGCCTGCGAGTTATACAAGGCAGCTGGATTAGGCAACACATCTGTGCCAGAAATGAGAGTAGACAGTGTAAATTAGGACATCTTGTTCCTTGCTTATTAATAAAGAACATTAAGTCACAGCTGGGTTGATGTTCAGAGAGTAAATAGCAAGAATTAGAGGCACTACAGCAGAAGAGAAGTCATTGTCTACAATATCTTTCCCGATGAAGGGCTTAACCACATACGACGGTCCATGTTTAACAATTTTAAAACCATATTGTTGTATCTGTGGCATTTGTTCTTTCATCTGTATATCCCAGGAGCTGAAAGGATGAGCCCTGTTGTTATCTATAGCTTGCACTAGAACCCCAGAGGTTAAATAACGTCCAAAATCCACAAAACAATGATATTTTGGGCCAACCAAAATGCACAAAATAGATGTTGCAAGCTTTCAAAGCTCCATTGGCTTCTTCATCATGCAAAGATTGGGATTTGGAGGTTTTCACCTCCAACAAAGGTAAAACATTTTTCTTAAACATTTGGACTACATTTGGCATGTTTTATCAAAACAGCACCTAAAAAAAAAAGTTTCCTGATGCAAAAACATGGAGGGTTTCCTTTGAAATTCAGTGTTTTTTGCCTAACAAAGGAGCTAGTAGGTTTACAAAGGACTGAGGCAACTTGGATCTCAAGAGATGCATCTCTTTTTGTCTTGCTAATAGATGATGATGATGATGATGATGATGATGATGATGATGATGATTTCCTAGAGTACCCACAAGGTCAGGAGAAGGTGGGATCTGCTGGCATGAACGTCTATCCAAAACTTGAACCAAGAACAGTATTATCCTGACAAAATGCAGGCATGTGACTAAAATTGTCATATTTTTTTCCTCTCCTATATGACTTTTAACATCTTTTTAGGGCTTGATGGACAAAGATTGGTTCTAAGGTGTCCACTGACTAAATGCTGAGGCAATTTACTACAGGCTGAGTATTTCTTATCTGGAATTCTGAAATCCAAGCTACTCCAAACTCAAAACTTTTTGATACCTAATATACAATACTTATATTAAATACTTATACTTATATTAAAATACATACTTATATTAAAATACAATACATAAAATACATAAAACAATGATTAAATATAAAATTCATTATTAAAACTGCTTCATCGGCCTGTCGGAAAAGATAGGTCTTTAAATGTGTTTTATATTCCCACAGCTGGTCTAGCCATCAGATCTTTTCTGGCTGGTCATCTCACAGTCTTTAATGTTGACTTTTCAGAGAATTTGCTTTTTAAGACTTTTTGGACAGCTTATTCATTTAGCCACCATTTTTTTGGTCATTGCTGTGCCTTGCTGAACTCTGAATGTTATTGTTAAAGGGATAAAATATGGAGTGATAATGTTTGCTATTCAATTATTTGGCATGCCCCATTGGCAGGGGAATGTATTGTGAAAGGCATCTGATAAATATTTTGGAGTGTGAAGTAGCAAAGACGGGGAAAGCTGCCCAACTCTTCCCAAAACAACATAGTGGTGGCTTTCACATCCCTTCCTAATATCAGAGAATCCGACCCATCTCCATCATGCCCACTACTACAATAGACTATTTCCTTTTCCATTTCCAAATGGGTACCACAAACAGCCAAGTCGCTTCATCTCATCGGAAAACCAACATGCCCACATCAAAGAGATGGGTTTTCAGCAATGAAACCACCACAATCCTGCCCTTAGCCTCAAACCTCACCCGAGGAGTGCATTTGCAGCGTCTGATGAAACCATCTGATCAATTAATAGAATAGTAAAGTAAAGTGGGTCCTCCACATTTGTAGGACCCTATGAAAGTAAGAAAACCGCAAATAAAAAAATCACTGATTTTTTTTTTTATCCTGGGAGAACACCAATCTAGGAATCTCTAGGACAGTCCACCAGTGCAACTCTATGGCCAACATCCGCCAGAGGTTGACCATAGGATCATGCTGGAGGACCTACAAATGCCTAGAGAAGTGTTTTGTCTAGTAATTTCTAGGACTTCCGGCACAATTCTATGGTTAATGCCTGGCAGAGTTGCAGTAGAGGACCTGG